AGTAAGAAAGGGGGGAAAAGCCTTTGGGGGTGACCATAACACTGAGCACATCACCGGAGGCACACATCAACCAAATAACCGCTGCAGCATACGTGCGCCTGCAAAACCTGAGAATATCATTCCGATACTTAATAAGGATCATTCAAGACACTGTACACTGTGTATGTTAGGCCCATACTGAGTATGCAGCACCAGTCTGGAACCCACACCTGGTCAAGCACGTCAGGAAGTAGAGAAAGTACAAAGGTTTGCAACACGGCTAGTCCAGAGCTCAAGGGAATGTCGTACGAGGAAAGGTTAAGGGAAATTGGACTGACGACACTGGAGGACAGAAATGTCAGGGAGACATGATAATGACATACAAGAAACTGTGGGGAATAGACAAGGTGACAGAGATAGATGTTCCAGTGGAGGGACACAGGGACAAGGGGTCACAACTGGAAGCTGAAGACTCAGAAGAGTCACAGGGACGTTAGAAGTATTTCTTCAGTCATAGAGTTGTCAGCAAGTGGAATAGCCTAGCAAGTGAAGTAGTGGAGGCAGGAACCATACATAATTTTAAGAAGAGGTATGACAAAGCTCAGAAGCAGAGAGAGAGAGGACCCAGTACGATCAGTGAAGAGCGGGCCAGGAGCTGAGTCTCGACCCCTGCAACCACAATTAGGTGAGTGTACACACACACACACACACACACACTCACACACTCACACACACACACACACAACACACACACACACACACAACATCACACACACACCACACACACACACACAACCACACACACCACACACACACACACACACACACCACACACACACACACACACCACACATACACATACACACACACACATACACACACACACATACACACACACACATACACACACACACAATACACACACACATACACACACATACACACACACACACACACACACACACACACACACACACACACACACACACACACACACACACACACACACACACACACAGTGGTCCCTCAATTATCGTCCTGGAAGTGGGACTATTATCGAAATAGACGATTTTCGAATTTGAATAAATTTTTCCTGTAAGAAATAATGTAAATCCAATTAATTCGTTCCAGACACCCTGTGGTGGTTAACGCTCTCGCTTCACACGGCGAGGGCCTGGGTTCGATTCCCAGCCAGAGTAGAAACATTGGACGTGTTTCTTTCAACCTGTTGTCTATGTTCCCCATCAGTAAAATGGGTACCTGGGTGTTAGTCGACTGGTGTGGGTCGCATCCTGGGACACTGACCTAAGGAGGCCTGGTCACAGACCGGGCCGCGGGGGCGTTGACCCCCGGAACTCTCTCCAGGTAAACTCCAGGTAAAAGATGTTGTTAAATTAGACACATGTGCAACTCTTGGGTATCTTTATTGAGGAAACGTTTCGCCACACAGTGGCTTCATCAGTCCATAGAAAGGATAAACTTGAAGAACAGGAGGAGAATGAAGTAATCAGTCCCTCAGCCTTGAGTCGATGTGGTCAGTCCATCAATCTTGAATAGAATACGGCATAGGAGTGGAGAGGCAGCTTATAAACCGTATGGCAGGAGAGGTGCAGCAGTCGTAGGTGGTGTCACATTTGTCCAATGTGGAAGTAGGTCGTGCCTAAGGGTTAGGCAAGCAAAGAATTCCCAAGTATTAAGATCCCAAGAAGTTGCAGTGTCTGACAGGATTGTAGATGAATGGTTCAAAGAGCCGACATGTTGTTAAATTAGACACATGTGCAACTCTTGGGTATCTTCAAGTTTATCCTTTCTATGGACTGATGCATCCACTGTGTGGCAAAACGTTTCCTCAATAAAGATACCCAAGAGTTGCACATGTGTCTAATTTAACAACATGTTGGTTCTTTGAACCATTCATCTACAAACCTAAAAGATAGATTTACATGCACAAAAGAATGAACATTCAACGTGACGGTTACCTTTATTGAAGGCTGTTGTTGATGAAAGGAAGACAGGGAGGAGGAGAGAGGGAAGAGAGGTTATTGTTTGGAAGGGGAATCCCCCTCCATAAGGGCTCTAGGTCATTAGGTAAGACACATATGCAACAGTTAGGTATCTTTATTTCGAAACGTTTCGCCTACACAGTAGGCTTCTTCAGTCGAGTACAGAAAAGTTGATAGAAGCAGAAGAGACTTGAAGACGATGTAATCAGTCCATCACCCTTAAAGTTTTGAGGTGGTCAGTCCCTCAGTCTGGAGAAGAGCTTTGTTCAAAAGTCTGAAACAATATGGAGTTGAAGTGACAGGATGGAGCCTTATATAGCGCCAGGAGGTGAGACGTAGGTAACTTGAAGAGGTAAGAGCGCAGATGTTGGGAGGTCAGGTCCCTCTCAAATCCAGCCGTTCTCACTAGTAGAGGTTGTCAAAGATGATTGCAGGTCTGTACCAAGATACCCTTGTGTTGCAGTGTCTGCAATCAACTTCGACAACCTCTACTAGTGAGAACGGCTGGATTTGAGAGGGACCTGACCTCCCAACATCTGCGCTCTTACCTCTTCTAGTTACCTACGTCTCACCTCCTGGCGCTATATAAGGCTCCATCCTGTCACTTCAACTCCATATTGTTTCAGACTTTTGAACAAAGCTCTTCTCCAGACTGAGGGACTGACCACCTCGAAACTTTAAGGGTGATGGACTGATTACATCGTCTTCAAGTCTCTTCTGCTTCTATCAACTTTTCTGTACTCGACTGAAGAAGCCTACTGTGTAGGCGATCGGTGATCGACTTAGCTCGAGTGGTGACGTGTGCTTACCTAACACATCGATGATCTCGCCTCTCTCGAATTACCCCGTGTTGAGTAGTGCTTTGAGTAGTGCTTGCTGGACCTTCATCTTCCTCTCCACCATCAGGATTTTTGCGTCGGTGGTTGCCGACCGAAGGGCAGGAAGCCTCTTGCTGCCTGAATTCTCTTCGCCTGTTGACTGCACGCCATACAGCCAGTCTCGCCGCCACTCAGGATATACAGTGCTCCATAAAGCTACAGTTCACCTCCTCAGTGTCCTGCGCCAGGCAAGTACGTGTGTCTACTTACACGTACTTGCCTACGAGTACCTCTCATTTTTGGCCGATTGTCACCTCCAATTACATCTTTTCGTAATTAGACGATGCCTTCGTTGCCTACCACCTCCCACCCCCTTCCACTCTCCCCCAACTGCCCACACCTGCCTCTGCTTCTTCTAAACCCAAATTTCCTTCTCGCTAAACCT